TAGTTTCATTAAAGTTATAGAAATCGCAATCGAGAATATCATATTTTGTTTGTATATTCGAAATTAAATAAAACCAGTTTTCAATAAGCTTGGGATCTTTGTAAAGAGCTCTTTGAAAGTTATAAACACAATTAAAACGCATCTCTAATTCTGTATAACACTTTACAAATCGATAAGCCCAAAGCTTTCCAACCTTCCTTGCTTCTTGTGTTTCGAGTATATAATTCGCTATATCTTCAACAATACTCAATTTAAATGAAAATCCTTTGTTATCCATATCAAGTATATATTGAATAAATACCTCCTCTTCCAATTCAATCAAATTATAACTTTTTGGTCAACTCTCAGCCATATTAGGTTTATCTCGAATTCTATCATTCAATGTAGATCGAGATATATTATAAAGCTGAGCTGCCTTTCGAATTATCAATTTTTTATTTGATTTGATAGCTTGAATAGCTAAGATTATATGTACTTCTTTAGAATGACTTTCCATATTTAGTTATAAAGAAAATACGTGTCGAAAATAGAATAATAATTCGAGGTAAAAGTGGCCGATCCACTGATATGGCCGACCCACTGATAAACCACGTTATTTATAATTTCCAAAAAGCTTTTTACAAAGATTTTAAGCTTATTGAAGATTGGTTTTGAGTGATTGCAAATATGCAAGTAAAATATGGTATTTTGGATGGCGATTTCTATAATTTCGATGAAACAGGTTTTATAATAGGGATTATATCTGTAGTAATAGTTATTATTAATACTGAAAAATGTGGTAGAAGTAAATCAATATAGCTAGGTAATCGAGAATAGGCTATAGCAATAATATGTGGAAATGGAGAGGGTGAAACTATTTCTCCATTTCTAGTGGTTTAGAGATAAATTCATCTCTTCAATTGGTATATCGAAATCAATCTTTCTGTGGATTGGGCTATTAAATCTATATCTAATAAATGAACAAATAATGAGATAGGTTTAGAATGATTGAAACATTTCAATAAGTATATTAAGAATCGAAGAAAGGGCAAATATCGAATATTAATATTAAATGGGTATGAAAGTTATGGAACAAGAGTTTTTCAGGTATATTGTAAAGAGAATGATATTATATACTTAAATCTATTATTGCATTCAAGTTATTTAATTTAATCATTTGATATAGACTGTTTTAGGAATCTGAAATGTTTATATGGTAATCAAATTGATAAGTTTATTAAGGTATATATTAATTATATTTTGAAGGTTGAATTCTTTATAGTTTTTAAAGTTGTATACAAAAAATCAATCACCTTTTAGAATATAAAATCAGGGTTTAAAGGAGTAGGTTTAATATCTTTTGATTTTGATGCTATACTTTCGAAATTGGATATTCGAATTTGTATATTTATTCCCCCCTTTTTCGATTTAGATTAATGGATCTCTCAAACCCTTTATAATCTAATTAAAACTCTTTCTTAATTAACTTTAATGAAATTTCGAATAACTCGATATTAATCAAGCTTTTCTATACTTATATTCGAGACTGTATTAGCTTTAGCTAAAGGTATAGAGAGATTAGCTTATGAGAATATACTTTTGAGTGCAGAGATTTATATCCTTTGAAAGGCAAATGAGGTATTAAGTAAGTGTTGATGTGCGAAAAAAATCTAATTGTGTTAAAAAGGAGTATTCATTGGATAAGAGGCTTTTGATATATTATTTTAGTAAAAGGTTGATATTCAGATTCAATGTGATGAGTGTTAAAAAGAGAGGAATTTTAATAGGGAAGCATTTTCTATTTGGTGTTGTAGTAAATGCGGAAAGATAGATTATAATACAAAAACCTATCAAAATAATGTAATAGATTCTAGATTATTAGATTCTTAATAGTTTTAATCAATTGATTCAATTGTTGTTGAATAATATAGATTTGAAGGTGTGAATTGAGGTGAAAGTGGCCCACTCGGTGATATGGCCCATTCGGTGATAAACCACGTTATTGAGTACCAAAAAAAAGATGATTTATAACAACATCAACTGGAATATCAAGAAGTCCACGGGTCCACCGGGTGTTCGAGAATTGTGGCTGAATCATGGCCTAAGTTTGTTGTGGCTAATCATTACCGCCGAGACCATCTCATCAATCTCAACCTCAACCTCAACCTCTCTACCTCTTCAACTCTAAAACACATAAATTATTTGCTAATAATCCCATCAATAGCAAACACTGAGTATTCCGAAACAAAAAAAGCAGAATTCAAGCAAGAACGGCTACCTCAGCAGGTTTCATATATGTCGGTTGCGGATTGCACAGCTTTTACACATTGCCTAGGTAGGGTTCAGATACAAATTCGTTGTATATCATTCTAGTGATGAATCTGGTACCCGATATACAGTTGAGAGTCCCGAACGGAAAGAAAGAAGTGGAAGCTAGAATCGGGAGCTGGGGGCGCTTAGAAGGGTTCTAGGACTCGAAGAGGAAGTGAGAATATGGGTTCGGTAAATGGGGGGATAGTAGTCGATATGGAGGTTCGGTGTTGGGAAATGCCTAGTTGAAGAGGAGCAGAGAGTTCAATGTGGTCAAGATCTCGAAGGGAATCAAGGGAGAGGAAATTTTCGATGGGTTCTGATCATACTCAAGAGGATGTTTTCCTGAATCAGAGAGATGAACTTTATATAGTGATGTACTGATACAATGTAAATCGGGACTTATGTTTTCTTCTAATTTCCCGCTTGATCTTCAAATGTTGCACCGCTATCAAATGAGAATACAATAAATAAGATTAAATAATGTCTGTGCATTCACACCCCTTTCGAAAAAAAAAGTATAAGGCGTACGTATTATACTCCCCTGATAGTGAAACAACGTTCGTGCATCTCTTAATCGGATCTAATGATCGTTTTCTTGACGAATCTGGTCCCGCTTTCTATTGCATTCAGCTGGTAGTTATCAATGGAATCATACGATTGACATTAGCTTTTGTCTTTCTTCTAGAAGCAAGTGTTAAACAAATAAATATATTCTCAATATTCTGAAAAAGAAATAGTGATTTCGAGGGTAGATGCTGAGAAATGGTATACCAGACAGCATTCAATATGATTCGTGACGAGAGTTATCTTCCCAATGGGTCCATCAATATCAAAAAGTAGTGAATCACTCTCAAATTTCAATTCATTCGTTTGTTAATATCAATATTAACATTACAGCACATTCATAACCCCGGCCCAACGGAGTACTTATAAACAACCACAGTGCCAGAAATATCTTTAGACCATCGGTGTTAGAATCAACTTCCCCATCAAACCAAAAATACAAAACAGCACCAGAGACTACAAAATGACATACGCCGCCAAAGTCTTAGCAATCCCCGAACTCCTCGAACAGATCTTCTCCCACCTTCCTCTCCCCGATCTCATGATCCGTATCCAAAGCGTGAACAAGCATTTCTACACCTTGATAACCACCTCTCCTCTCCTCCAACAGAAGCTGTTTTTCTCCTCAACCAGAAATCCATTTCTATCCAATCGTTCCAATACCATCATCCCCAATCCTCTCTTATACCCTTCGTTCTACGCCTACATCTCTTCTTCTCGCAAGGTATGGACCACGTCTCCGGATCTCCGGCCATTAGAGCTGGTTGAATTAGGAGTTGGAAGAAGGAATATGGTACGAAGGGGATTCAAGTGGGCAGATGCGAGCTGGAAAAATATGTTAGTGTGTTTACCACCGGTCAAGGAATTGACGATCCATTCAATGTTTGGACCATGGGTCATAAAAAGCGAGACTGGAGTTCGGATGGGGATGTTGGATTGGCAATTGCTAAGGGATGTGTGGGGGAGTCTGGATGTGCAAGGGGAGAAGGGTATTTTGAGATGTGGAAATGCGGAGAGGTAAAGGTAGGGGCTTTGAGTGCTTTCAGGGGAGTTGCGCGCTTTCCTGGAAAGAACGTCCTTGGAAGGCTCGTTTAATGTTCACGCGCTTGGGAACGTTACCTGCTTATGAAAGGGAAATCAGCGAGTTTTATTAAGGGAGCGATGTGAAAGAGCAAGTCTTCAGCGAGTAAAACAAGTTTCTGGTCGTATTGAGACAATGTAGTACGATGCCTTGGGATAGAAAATTCGAGAAGTTACACTTGCACTCGATATACAATAATTGTGTACATAGTATTGCCTGCTGGCAGGTAACAGCTGACAGCTGACATCAAGCGACGGGTATCAAAGGAACGGCGATGTCATTCTAGATTCCGAGAAGGGCTAGAAGTTTATTTAAGATAGAGTGAGATCTATAATCCATATTTGTTGTGAACAATTTACTAAGATTGACAACACCAATAACATACACTGTCCAATGATATGACGTTGTGAGACCTTGTTTCTCGTAGTATCAGGTGATAGCTTGCATGATATTTTCTTTTGTAAACACCACCTCGGCGCCACCCGTTTGTGTATAACCTCAGTTGAGTAATACCACATCGGGCATACCGGTATTAATTTGTTTTTAGAGAATAAAAAACGATGATTGCTCAAAAAATGTAGCCAAAAAGATAATACCGAGGTTGAAAAATAAACCGAGAATTATGTTTCAGTCTGTATGTTCCACTGCTACGTTACCATTCTATTATTAAATTCTCGATCTGCATTATGTAGGTATCTACATACTCTAGCATCAAGAGAGAGTGTGTGGTTTCCCCACAGATTCATACAAAGTACAGAGTCGTTGTGGTTTCCGTCGAAGAGCTTGGATCATTTGTTACACAGAGCTCGTATTTTGGGGTTCGTATTTGAAGAAAGGGCAATAGCTTGGCGCTGCATATGTAATCGAATACGATGGATCGTGCTGGCTGCACTGTAACATCATAACGACCTCGGAGGTTCTTTCTTTTCTTGCCTTGAGTGTGTGTGGTTGTTTTTGGTATTAATTCAAGGTCGTCCGCTTGATGAAAGCCTTTCATTCATCACTGTTTTATCAACTTACCATCATCCACTTCCCATCAACATCTCATCAATTCTCAACCAGTATGCACTTCTCAAAACTTCTTGTTTTCTCCGCTGGAGCCATTACTGCAGTTCTAGCGGATCAATTTATGGTTCCCACTCCATGGTATGTCCAAAAAATCAGTATTGGAAACATTAGACACGGCACCGGCGGCTTGTAAGTTCTTTTCCCAAAGGCCTCCACCTTCAGATGCTAACTCGAGAAAATAGTTGGTCATTCAACTTGATTGACACACCCACTCCTGCCCCTCAAGGTCTCAATGTAACATGTAGTTATTCAAGTCCAACTACTTATGTATTCGCACTCGATGGTGCTCCAGTCGATGCACCCTGCAGTGGTAATCCCAATGTAACTTTCAGTCTATATCCTGATGGCGATCATTTTACATTCAATATCACGCATTTGTATGGAAATTGCGGAACGTAAGTTTTGGCCTGGTCTTTGATTTGCTGAAGCCGTAGACTAATAATCTTTGCAGTGAGGATAGCCCGACTCCAGTGAGCAAACTCATTTTCCCCCAAATAATGGTTGGGAAAATATAACTGACTTTTGACTTTTTAGTGCAACGACAGTGGAACTTGGAAATTCAGCTGGGATGATGTGAGAGGGCAGGAATCTGATGTTCAGAATAACTTTGGACAGTCTGGAAGTTTTACCAGAGACTCCATTTCCATGTATCCAGTTCGAGCGATACCTAGCGAGAAATGCGAGTTCTGTTGATATTGCTTATAGGACGGGGTTTACCAAAGGCGATGAAATGCCTAGTGTACCAATGAGGCGAGTAAAAATAGAAGGATTGCATCAGGCTTAAAAATGGAGTAACTTAGCATTGGCAAAACAAAATTTGGAATGAATAGAACTTATAATCAACAATCAAGCTGCTCACTTCCATTTAAGTGCCTTGAGATATCGGTAGCCGGAACATCTCGTTCATAAGCTTTACTTTACTAGCGATGAATGATTGAATTAAATAGAGCCCAGAGCTCAATACCACTGAGACAGTGGTGTATTGACATCAACTTGCAGTGATAGCATATAACAACGCACTGTGTTAAAGAATGGCTTTGTCATAACGATTATGTCCCAGCCACCACCAACTTAAACAAAAGCTTCTTGAAAAGCAGCGGCCCAACCTAGCTTTGAAATGATGGTGAGGTGGCATTCTCATTACCAAAATTGGTCAAATCCTATCACGCATCATCGAATTGATCATGATACCCATTGGAAACTCCGCCACAACCATCACAAGGGATAGATATTCCGTGTGAACACTTCCCGCAATCCTTGCAATGCCAGTCTCTCCAGTCGTTACATTCATCACAAACGGAACAATGGACAGTACTAGTAAATTCCTCCCATCCACCAGAGCAGAAAGAGAAATAATACCCACCATCCTCAACAAATGCCTTTTCGAATAACTTCATCCGAATAGGTTTCCTCTCTGCTTCAGTCTTTGCCTCGAGCCACTCTTCACCAAGCTGTTGTATTTCGGGGTCAGAACCATCGTAGAATACTGATCCTTGAGGCGCATCGTAATATTTCTTTTCATCGACTCCCATAATGTCACTTCTCAGTTCCTCTTGTGTAAATGCGGAATCGAGATCCAGATCAGGTCCTTGTGCTTTCATCCAACTCGCAAAACAGTTTGTAGCGCGAAGTCTCGATTCTCCGAAGAAGAGGGCAAATTTGTTCAGATAATTGGCACACGAAGCACATTTGCAGTTTGGGCCACAACTAAAAGAGTTCTTGGAGCATTCGCATCTACCATTTGTGCAACCAGTCTTACATGAACAGGAGAATGATGCGGTGATACCGCGTTGTTTGAGCTGTGAGAATGTTAGCAGGCTCTCAGGATGTTACGAAAACAGTCGCATCCTCACTTCCGTCACTCTTCTGTTTTTCTTCGAAGCTTCGTGTTCCAAGCCTGAACCCTCATCATCGCTATCTTCCAGATTGTTATAATCGCCAACAGCGCGATCCGCTTCGGAGATAGAGATAGGGTCCGGTTCAGGGTCTGATTCGGACGGAGCTTCATTCAGATGTTCCATCTTCTCATGCTCCAAATCTACCACATGAGCTATCTCGGGATGAGAAACATATGCTTGAACGAGAATGGTACGAAGCTGCGATTCGTTTAGATCGTGAATCAGCTTGTTTGCTCTGAATAAAGCAGCCATGGATGCTTGTGGATTTAATTCCATATCGTTGGCGGTCCTAGCAATTTCAGTAGATCCTTCTGTTAATGGTACTTCTTCCTCTGCCTTTCTTTTATTAAGTGAAGCCATTTGAAATTTAATTCTGGCAGATGTATAGCAAAATTCTTCGACGCTGGCGAATTATCACGAAGATTGTAGTTGATTTTTAAGTAAATTCTAGAGATGTGAAGACGCGTTTCGCATTTGTGAGGACACGCGAAAGCACGAGGATTTCCCGGTGCACAAAATCATGATGACTAAGCGTACCCCTCCTCTCAAAAGCAAAAAGGGGGGCTTCTTTGTTGGTTCGTCTTCACATCGATTCAAGAACATCCGAAGCCATATTCTCGACGTTGTTATCCACGAATGTACATGATCTTAAGGGTAAATTCAAAACTTGGTCATTTGTCAACGAGTAGCTCTCCTGTTGATTTTGGTAAGATGATAGGAAAGGCAGGAAAGGAAATGCTTCCAGTTTCTGATCTGTCACATTCCTATCCTTCGTCTCGCGTGAACGCGCGAGACGCGTTAAGTAATTACTTTTCTTATTCCACAGAAACATCTATATCTCCTTTCCATTCCTTCTTCTGTCTTCTGTAATCGTTATTGTTTCTATTGTATGTTACTTCCATTGTGTTCCAAATCTTTACAGTTATAGATATGGTATCCAGTCGATCAAAGGCCAGTGCACCTCAGAACTCAAAGAAACGAAAGGTTCGGTTCACTACACCCAGTACCAAACCCATTCAAGAGTTATTGCGGAACTTCAAGCCTTCCCAATTACGCGAAGTTATTGACGAGACATTGAATAATGGCAATATTACCAAATGTATACGCGATATTCATGCTCGATCGTCACAAAAACTTCAGATTAGAGATCATTCAGAGCCATTGGTTGCGGTCCAAGTACCAGTTGACGATGAAGTGCTTGAGAGCATCGAAAAATCCCCAACAAAGTTGAGGCAGCATGATCCCGTCTCAACACCAAAGGACTTGTCTATGACTGCCACTAATGGCAATTTACCCACTCCGAGAAGTTCCCAGGAACCTAAGGAGGTACGATGGCTTGCCTTCAAACTCGTGAGAAACCATCAACTAACGCCATCTTATTAGATACCCATGACCCCCGAGCCTTGGATGACCCCCGAGCCACAACCCAATGCTCAACCATCTCCTCTTCCAGAGGCAGAACAATACATCCCTCCACCAGTTCAATGTACAACTTGTAATTGCCGGTCTGGATGCATTTCCACCCGCTGCAAACGTTTTAAATCCGGACGAGGCTGTTCGCCCTCTCTTTCCTCTGGCTGCAAATGCGATTCTTGCGCTAATATGCTCAATGACTTAACTGTCTTTTTCGGGTCCTCCAAGCCCTCTGATCCTCCTGTCTCAGCTAGTCCAGACTTTCTAAAATGGATTCGAAAAGAGTCGAGAAACGGAAGGTTCGATTTGATTCATCCGGATACAATGGAAGAACTGAGAAGCATGTTGATGGGAGTGGAATATGGCGATATGACATCTCCACCCCAATTTCCCGTTTTCTCAGGAAAACTCAGAGGCATTGGAAAAGCATGGATGAGCTCTGATATCACGGATGAAGAGAGAGAAGATGTGAAGAGGGGGTTGTTTGAAGAGGCTTTCGGGGTCGCAGCACCAAAAGATACGAAGAATGATTATTGGTGCTTTTGTAAAAATGAATGGAAACAAACTATTTTGTGGGAGTTTTGTACAAAGTGCGACGAATGTAGAGATACGAGGGAGTGGCATTGTGGAGAATGTGGGAACAGGAATATTGGGAAGGGATGTGAGTGCCAGAAGGGTACTAAACGAAGGAAATTACTGAAAGGAGCTACTTGCGCAGTCGTTATTCTTCAATAATATATGGAAGTGTGTTGGAGGGCGGGAATGTGGTCTTGGTAACGTAAATTATTGGAAAAGAAAGGATGTTAATTGACACAGCTGGGATCTGTAACTAAACGCCTTTGATGGCCTAGAGAATTTGCTTGTTACTCTATTATTGAGATCCAGAGTTGGTGGTAAATAGACTATTGATGGGTATTTAGAGGATATGGAAATTCAGGTGCTTGGTACTAACGAAGAGGAAGTGATATTAGCAGTGTCTTATCATTATTAATACCTTAGATGGACATAATCATGGGTTATATCCATTATGTGCCGTGAGATCTATCTATCCGGATCCTTTCCCTCCACACGAAAGAAATGTAGATTCTCAAAGCTATGCTCATGCCGAATATTCCATCCTTTTTCACAGTGCCTGAAGTTCCGTAGGCAGAATCAAATATGATAAGTCACAGATCTGTAAACTCAAAAGCGTGTTATTCATTTGGTTGACATCTTAATTGAATGTATGTCGTAAACACACATCCCTTCATCGGAAAAAGTACTTCGTATGTGCCCCTTCCTCCATTTCTCACCGACCTCCTTCCTCCTTGACTACCGCTTTTATTCTAAATGAATGAACTTTAACTAACCAAAACTCAAACACACCTTTAAACCTCATACTACATACTACATACCATATCATCCTCCGGAAAGAGAAGAACCCATCAAGATTCAATAGCCAGGAACCACCAATTCATTATTGGGTTGCCGCTACTATTTAATTCGACACTTCCATAAACCTTCTGTATACAAAGTCAATGAATTGTGGAAAGTGCTATTTAAAGTCTGACCATCGAGGCTTGAGAGGTTTGAATAATGTTTACACGCAGATATCGATTACCGCTCATTCCTCTCCTAGAAAAGATCATTACTCCAACCGATTCACATTTCGCGTTGCGAGCTCAAAGATTTGAAAGTTCAATCTTCTATGTATACCTTTAAAGATTTAAAGTGTTTTTTCGCGTGCTTTACAAACCTTAAAACGTCACCATGGAGAGGAGATGGGAGATAGAACAGTCCGCTAGGTCGAGCTGGCCCGGTGCAATATCAGCCTGATAATAGTTGTTGATCGCCACATCATAAGGAAAGTTGAGAGCTATTCTCTGGTGAAGTAAGACACGAAGACCTTTCATTTATCGACGTTGCCGTTGATATCAGAGCATTTCCATTGTCGAAAACTGGATTAATCAATCCGAGCACCGAACATAAGACCCCACAGCCCGAACCTATCCCGAGATTCAGCAATGCGGAAAATATTATATATTTAAATAAGCTCCCGCAACTCAACAACAAAGAAAAGTCTTCGTGGCTCAGTTGGTTAGAGCGTTGGTCTCATATTCTTATATGAGGTGATTGTTAACAATCACTTTAGCCATCCAAAGGTCGAGAGTTCGAGTCTCTCCGAGGACAATTTGTTTTTGCCTGTGAGGGCCTTTTTGCATCTTGGTGGATTGAAATTAAATGGATTTTGTGTGACTGCGCGTGTAAGGTTGAATATTTTATCGATTGATGATGGAGAAAGAATTTAAACACAATTTTGGGGTGGGCCTCTGTGCTTCATACATTTTCCATATTTCGACATCCTCATCAATCAAACAGACTCTCCATCACTCACTCACATCC